AGCCTGAGAAGTAAGACAGAAAAAGCAGAGTGCAGGGAATCTTAGGAAAGAAGTGGGAAACAGTAAGATCTGGAGAGGACAGGAACTCCACAAGGAGAGCAACAGAACCAAACATTCTGAGCACAGGGATCTTTCCTGAGACTGATACTCCAACCAAGGACCATGCATGGAGATAACCTAAGACCCCTGCACAGATGTAGCCCATGGCAGTTCAGTATCCAAGTGGGTTCCATTGTAATAGGAACAGAGACTGTCTCTGACAGGAACTGATTGGCCTGCTCTTTAATTACCTCCCCCTGAGGGGGAAGCAGCATTATCAGGCCACAGAAGACAATGCAGCCACTCCTGATGAGACCTAATTGGCTAGGATCAGAAGGAAGGAAAAGAAGACCTCCCCTATCAGTGGACTTGGGGAGGGTCATGCATGCAGAGGGTGGAGGAAGGGAGGGATTGGGATGGGAGGAGGGAGGGAGCCACAGGGGGATACAAAGTGAATAAAGTTTAATTAATAAAGAATAAAAAAATAAATCTTTTACTTCTACAAGAGTTGCTGACAAAGCAAGTGGATGATTTGATTGAGCAGAAGAGTCAATTATGAGTTAATACTTAGAACACTTTTCCACAAGGTTAGGGCTTAGGATTCAAAGGACACTTTATAGGTAAAACTTGAGTCTTCACAAAAACCAAGAAGGTACAGGTTTAAATATAGCCCCAGAGGTGATATGAGATCAGCTGGATCTGAAACTGGGAGTTGAGAACTGGTGCCGCTATAAACAGAGAACAAAGTGCTATTCGAGCATTCATTACCGGCCTTGGAGAATGAACAGAAGGGAAGGGAAGCACACGGCTGGGTGTCATCCCAGCTGGCCTGGGAGATGCTGAAAGAAGCTCAGGCCTAGAAAAAGCCAAATCAGCCGAAAAAGCATGGGGAGAAAGCACAGGTCCAGCAAACAGTTATTCAGGAAACATTAACAGAATTTGGAGCGATTAACAGACCCTTCTGCTGAGGCCCCAGAAAGGGTAAGGCTATGCTCAGATGGAGTTAGATAAACGGATGAAGAGTACTATTTAAGTAATACAACGTTATTCTGGGGTTTATCTAAGAAATGTTAAGTTGAGACTGTAAGAGAGTTGAAGGTCAAGAACTGAAGATAACCTGGAAACCAGTGTAGAGGTTTTCTTTTCTTTCTTTTTTTTTTTCTAATCTTGTTTTTCACCTGAAATATAGTTCTGATTCTATCACTTACTGTATGTATAATTTAAGAGGGAGAATTATACACCCCTTCCAAACTTTATTGTTTTCCTCTAAAAAGAGACTGATGCACTCTAGATTATTTAAATATATGTTCTATAGCTCCTCAGGACCACAGACTGCAATTACTAAGGGCTGATGAGCAGGATGTCAAAAAGGACTGAAGGCCCAGAGCCACAGAAATGTGTTTTAGAAGCTCAGAGCCTTCCCGCACACAAAGTGCAGCTTAGAAGAGAAGGAAGAGCCAGACCTAAGGCGACAGTCAGACTCCCCATCCCTCACTCTTTCTTCTGCTACAGACAAGTGTAAAGCACAGACAGACAGAATGGCAAAGACTCAAAAGAGTAGGAAAGTAGAAATAGTCATCACACACATTACTACACAGACAGATGCCTGACTCGTGAGCATCACAATGACGAGGAGTTGAGAGCAACAGACTCCTCTCCCCGCCCCCCAGAGACAGGACCTCTCATTGATCTGGACTTGCCAAGTCTACTAGGCTGTTTTGCCAAAAGCCCCAAGGATCTGCATGTCTCTGCCTACCCAATGGACCACCATGCCCTGCATTTTAAAGTGAGACCTGGTTATCAAAACAGGTCCAATAACTGGAAGGCAAGCAGTTTACCAAACGAGCTATCTCAAGTCCAGCAACAGATCTTTTCACTGAAGCCTTACCTTAGAAAAGCTAATGAGATTCAGATGAATAGCTAAAGAATCCTGTCAGACTTAACTAGTTGTGGTGATTTAAATGAGGTTGGCCCCCATATGTGCATATATTTTGAATGCTTAGCCCCCACGGTGTGATACTGTTTGTGAAGGCTTAAAAAGTATCGCCTTATTGGAGGAGGTATGTCCTTGGGATTGGTCTATGAGGTTTCAAAGGTCCCCTCTCTCTCCATCCCCACCTCCCTAGTGCCTGCAGATCAGGATGTAAAGCCTTCAGCTAATGCACCAGAGCCATACCTTTCTGATTCCTACCATGATGATCATGTACTAACCCTCTGAACCTATAAGCCAGCCCCAACTAAATGCTCCCTTAATGAGAGTTGCCTTGCTCGTGGTGCCTCTTCACAGCAATAACAGTGACTAAGACACTAGTAATTTTTTTAACAATGATATAAAAGCAATAACAATTCAGTAGAAACATACTTTAAAATTTTTTATCTTTTCTCAGGCTAGAAATACATGGTACATTTATACTCTTGTGCTACTGAACAGCTCCCAGTCAGCCAGTTTAGTATAAGGATAAACAGCTGATAATTTACAATGTACTATAATGTAAAACTATGACATTCAGCAGGGTAAGTAATTAAACACATTTTCTACTTATGGTCTGTTCAATCTAGGATAGGTTTATCCAGAGTAGCCCCATTTAGTAGAAGAGCACCTGCACAGATTAATTCAGTGCAATCTAAAATGATAAGAAAAGCTTAAGGATTCAGCAACAGTGAACAGATCCACATAGGCACACATAATCGAGAGGTATCCTATTATAGAAATCAATGAAGGTTCATGTCATGATCCCCAGCTGGAATTAGCTCTCTATTATATTCTATGACACAGTACAGAAGATACTAGTTGACTGCCACTGAAACCGTAACTATGTCCATAAACACCATGAAACACAGTTGCCTTGCTATTTCAAAATATATTTTTTCAGCATCAGAGATGATACACCTAAAACAGGCATATGTGAACAATAATTCAGAACTACTGCAGAATTGGACGGTGTATAAGAAAAAATAAAATTCTGAGGAGATTATACATTTTTATATAATAAATAATATTATTAATGTTAAATATATAGAACATATCATCCAAACTCAAATGGCAAACTACATTCCTTAACAAGTTTAATAAAATTGTCTTGCTACAGTTAAAATTAATTTTTCACAAAGAATAACAGAGAGCATCACATGACAGCTTTCTAACCCTTGAGTTAGAATGCGGCACCCGAGTTACATGAAAACCAGGTGAAGTCTCTGTGTGCTCATTAGTGGCAACTCAAGATGTTCACTTCTCCTATGGATTGTCACTTGGAATTCTTGCTGAGTTGAAGGTCAGTTTTGTAGATGGGAAAGAAATTTAGTTCAAATATTTTAGGATGAAAATAATACAGCAGAATCAGACTGGTACATTACTAAGTAGTTACTAAAAAGGAAGCAGGAGGCATAAATACTAAAAAAAAAAAAATTATATAACACTAAGATCCATTTTCTCTCATGTGATTTAACTGCTGTCCTCTAACTGAAGGCTTAGAAGATGGCAGAAATAAAATATATCAGAATTTTTAGAATTTGTTAGACTTAAATGTTCAAACTGAGCTTTCCCACAAAATTTCTCTAAATTCAATGATTGCTACTATTCTGCTCTACATGTAATAACATTCCATGTGAATAAAAATCTACAGAGAATTGCCTACATACTAGCTTATCAGGATTAATCTGACAGTCCTCTTTATTTCATCTTTTGTAGTGAAATGTTCTTAAATAAGTGATACATCAGTATTCTAGTCCTCATTAGTGCCAGGCATTCAAAATATATAGTACATTTAAATTACTGTGGCAAGTCTACAAAATAACCATTATTAACATCATTTTAAAGACGAAACAGAGACATACAATGATTACATAACTTACTCAAGTTTACAGAGATAGGATCCAGAGGTAGTTTTTAAATAAGGAAGAAGGAAGTTACATTAGCTTAATTTGTTATAGGAGATTAGTCATTGATGAAAACATACAGCGTTGTAGTGTCTTGTTTTTTATGTTTATTTTCTTATTTAACTATGTGTATGTGTGTACCTGTTTGTGGTCATGTACACAGGAGTCCTTGAGTGCATCATATTTACAGGGTGCTGTGAGCCACCAGACAAAGGATGCTGGGAAGGGGACTCAGGCACTCTCTGTAAGACCAGTGCATGCTCTTCACTGCTGAGCCATCTTTCCAGCCCCAGAGATGCAAATTCATCTAGACTGTATTTACTACATGTATTTCTAACAAGTATTTTCTAGACTTATTTCTATTCTTCATCTAAGTCTCAACAATCCAAACTGACCTCTAGTGATAATTTTTGCTTACATTCTTTGAGTGCATCACCTTTCAGAAAAAGAGCAGAGCCCACTCAGACTGTCCTGTAATCAGTTAGAAGATAGCCTCCATGGCATTGAGTCAGGATAAATAAAAGCTGTCATGAGTTGTTAAAGCTATTTCTTCAACAACACAGATATAGAGAATTCATAAATTACCAACCTCAGTCATCCACTATTGCTCTTATTCACACACAAGTTACAGCTAAACATGGTGATGGCAGTCAAACAGAAGAATGCTAAGTTTTAGTGAAAAATAAGAGAGCCTGCGGTTTGGGTAGAAACGATACTATGGAAAGGAATCTTACACACACTGCATACACCTCTGGTATCTGGACAATTTGACAGAATTGCTATTTCAAATAATGCATTTTCAAATACAACACAGTTGACCAGAGAGTTAAAGGTGTGGGTTAATAAGAGGGTTGAACTGTGGGGGAGGAGTGGGAGACAGGCCTTGCTCCTTTGTCAGGTTATGATGCAAAGAACTCTGCTTTTATTGTAAGTGAATCCTATTTGAATTTACCAACAAGAACACAAGCTGTACTAGAATGAACACAGAGATCATAGATCCAATCTAATGCTTTGAATTTTTAGTTTCATATTCATATCCACACATATAAACAACACTAAAACCATCCTCAAAACTGGGCATATACCTTGAATGTAGTTCTGTGCTGCCATTATTGTATTTGCTTCCTCTTTCCCAGACACCAAAGTCAGGAACACGGTAAACTCTTTCTACACAAAACACAAGGTTTTGAATAAATGAGACCTAAAAGAAAAGAAAATAATTGAAACATAAGAACACATGCAACACTGAGAAGAATAACTGCATGCCATCTAAAATTCAAGTATGAACTTATCTCCCGAAGTATATTGCTACCTTTCCTTCTTTTTCTGAAGACATGGTCTCACGTGCTCCAGGCTGACCTCTAACTCTATGTAATCAAGATCACCTTGAGCTTCTGATCTTCCTTCCTGAGTGGTGTGATGGTAGGTATATGCCACACCTAGCTTGGAGGGTGCTGGAGATCCAACTCAGGGCTTTGTGCATGCTAAGCAATCACTCATCCAACTAAGCTATATATATTCCCAGACCCCAAAGCACTTTTTTAACAAGATGAATTCTTGTATTACTATGAGACCTCAGCTGTACTTAGTTTTTCTAATTTGATGCTTACTTTGGTGAGAACCTAATTAGTAAAATACACTACAGAAATAAAATTTAAATCCTTTCAGTGTTCCAACTATAATTTTTCAATGAGACAATATTACTGTTTATGAGGGCTATGCATTGGAAGAACTAAGTAAAACATAGAAAAGTATTTTATATTGGGTAACATTTAGAAACTGAAATGTCTATATGAAACACACACATATTAACTGTAAAGCTTTGAAAAGTAAAATAATAACCTTTTAAAAAGTAAAAAGGATTTTTCTTTTCTGAAAAATTCTGGTCCCATATTGATCAGCCTGGAGTTTTTCCGTCCACACTTCTGCAAAGTAATTTCCTTCTGTAACTATGGATCCTGATTATAAACACAGCCCACAGTTGGAAGCTGTGCAGGACAAGAGAGTGGAGAGAGCTACACCAAGACTGACATAAAGGGAGCCACCTGGCTCTGTGCTGAGCCCTCGCCATTTCAATCTTATAAAGACAGCAACCTTGGAACGGTAAATCTGATTTTTGTTCCATTTCTGTTTTCTTCAATCTTTTTCTGACAATATATCCAATTTCTTCTGCCCAGATCCTGAGTGGTCTTTTCAAAAATCTTTGAAGGTGATATGCTCTAATTCCCAAATCACTAATGAAACCAATTAGATGTCAGCTAAATTTGGTATATTTTGACAGTACTGTGTCTTCCTTTCTCTCTTATCTTCATTCCACCACCACGGTCAGCCATTTTTCACATTATTCATGATTTTGATAGTAGACATTCAAGTCCTTCTAAGTCCACCCATGCTTGTCATATGACTCTATTTATTAATCTAAATCCCTGACTAGCACCTTGAGTTCCAAGTGGTTCAGCCATGTTAGTCTTACTCACTTCCCACTGAAACACTTTTTCAGAAACTGAATTTTCCTTCAACCTCAATTCAAAAGGATGCAATGCTAATAGTTCTCATTATTCTTAAAGCTACATTCACAGCTCATTATCTTTTTCTTTCATATGTTGCCCTCATACCGCCTCTAATTAGTATACAGTCTACATTCTCTTGTTTGGAGTAATAAAATATCACAAGCTCGCAAACAATTTTTTTCTTAACTCATTCTTCAGCAAAACCAGAAACTGAGATGAGATTTCTCCCTATGTATTCCATTTTATGTGAATATTCGTGTTTTATAAAAAATATTAATGTGATTATTATGGAGTTCTGTCTTGAGCCTTGCTGGAATTATTGCATCCCTGAACAGTACTGTTTTTAAAATTGTGTTAATTTATTCTGAGCAATGTGTGTATATGTACGAGTAGATATATATTATGAGTATATGTGTGAGTGTGTGTGTGTGCCACAGCATGCATGTGGAGGGCAGAGGACAACTTGCGGAAGTAGAAAACCATTTCCTACTATGTGAATTGCAGGGAAGGGATCCAACTCAAGTTGTAGGCAAGGTGGCATGTACCTTTACAAACTGAGGGGGGTGGAGGAACAGCCTTACCAAGCCACAGAGGAAGACAATGCAGCCACTCCTGATGAGAGCTGATAGACTAGGATCAGAAGAAAGGGGAGGAAGACCTCCCCTATCAGTGGACTTGGGGAGGGGCATGCAAGGAGAGGAGGAAAGGAGGATCGGATTGAGAGGGAATGAGGGAGGGGGCTGCAGCTGGGATACAAAGTGAATAAACTGTAATTAATATAAAAAATTAAAATTAAAAAAAGAAAGCCATAGCCAAATGCTTCCTGTTGATTTGTACTTCTAGAATCTGGGCCAGATTAAGCCACCCTACATTAAACCTTGCCAAGCCTTTTGTCTTGTGTTATTAGCAACAGAAAATGAGCTAGGACAGTATGAGACACTGAGCAGATACCAAAGGAACTCAATGGGAAGTATAGCAGATCCTCTAAAATGCCCTTGATGCCTTTTTATTTTGTTCCTTGAAAGGAGACCTATGTTAGCTCACACAGTAAGTACTGAGTAGTGCAAATTAATTACTGTCTCACATTCTGCCTCCCAGTTTCTGTAGGTTTCATTGAACAATATTTCTCTAATGTGCCTGTTGAAAATAAAATTTGATCCCAGAGTAAGAAAAAAAATTGCACATTGGACAAGTCTAAATTCTAACCATTCTAACCAGGACCCTGAAAGAATTCATAGACAAGGGGAGAAAACAAAAGTAAAATACAAAAGAAAGAAATCAAAAGCATCCTGATTTTGGATAACATGATCCCACATTTAAAAAAAAAAAAAAAAAAAAAAAAAAAAAAAGACCTAAAGACTCCACAAGAAAACCAAGAGCTGATACACTTTCAGCAATGTGTCCAGATACAAACTTAACAAATAAAAAGTTCATAGCCTTCCTCTATACCAATGACAAATATGCTGAAAAGCAATCAAAACAAAATGAAACAACAACCTAGCTCAGAAAAGGAAAACAAAAACCCAAACAAAACAAAGTTGAAATAAACTTCACCAAGGAAGTGACGATCTGTATAGTGAAAACTTGAAAACACCAGAGAAAGAAACTTAGGAAGACACTGGAAGATGGAAAGGGCTCCTATGATCATAGGTTGGAATGACTATTGTGAAAATGGACACATAGCAAGAGCAGTCTACAGATATAATTCAATGCCCTTCAAAATTCTACACCATTCTTCAGAGGACTACAGAAAACACTCTTAAAATTCATACAAAAAGATCCTGGATACCCAAAGCAATCCTGTGGGGAAAGTAATGCTGAAGGTATCACCACACTCAATTTCAACAGAGCCATACTAATAAAAATAGCGCTGGCACAAAACTAGATGCGTATATTAATGTAAAATAGAGGACCCAGATATAAGTATTCACAGCTACTGCAACGTGGTTTCTGACGAAGAACCCCAAAATACAGACTGGAGAACAAACCGCCTTAACACATGGTGCTGGGAAAACTGTGTATCTACATGCAGAAGAAAGAAACAGACCCAATTTCTTACCCTTCCCAAAAATCAACTCCATACTGATCAAGACCTTACCAATGACCAGAAACTCTGAAATTTCAGAGGAAAAAGTAGGGAAAAGACTTCAAGATGCAAGCATTCATCAGGACTTTATGGATAGGACTACACATTACTGAGGAAACATGGAACACAATTAATGGGTGGGAGCTCAAGAAATTAAAGAGCTTTGTTACAGCAAAGAAAAACAGTTAATGGAGTGAAAGGATAGCCTGAAGAATAGGAGTCCAGCTCTAGACCTGAAGGAGAATTAACATGGAAAAATAAACACTGAAATAAACAATACAATCAAACAACGAGAAAAAGAAATAAACTTCTCAAAATAAGAAACACAGGGGGCTAATAAATCCTTTAACATGGTCCATATACTTAGCTATTGAGGAAATTGTGGGTCAAGACTACTTTCGGTTCTCTCTCACCCCAGTGAGAGTGGCTATGACCAGGAGAGCAAGGCAAGCGCACACCAAGGCGCATGGGTGGAAGTCAGGGGTTGACCTTTATTAGTTGGTTCTCTCATTCCAGTGTAGATTCTGGGGATGGAATTCAGGTCATCAGGGTAGTGATGAAACAGTTTTTAACCTGTTGGGCCATCTCAGTGACCTGAGAAACTTAAGAACAAAAGCAAAGCCCTCTTTCTCAATTCTTATTTGCCAATGTAGATCTGACATCCAGAAGCTACACTGTTTAGATAAATTATCTCAATAATGTTCCCCCCAAAAGGAAGAAAAAAGTATTTTACATTATCAACAAGATAAATTTCCCAAAGTGGTCTAGATGCTCTCTGTGCAGAATTAATGGTACATGAAATAAAACCGCTACTAATTGACAGGGCTGTTTTTTTTTTTTTTTTTTTTTTTTTTTAGCCATGTACAACTTTGCTGATTCACTGTCATCCACAGTGTCTCCTTCTCTTCTTTCTGTCAGCTAGAGTTGGCTCATGCATAATTCAGGGCCTTAACTTTTTTTTATCCAATCAAAGCAATATATTTTTTCTTCTCTATCGCAATGCATTATTTGAACTGGCACTGAATCTTTTGTCTATTTAGAAAGTTAACTTTATGCTAACTCCCCAACTCAAATACAATTTTCAAAAGGCAAGATCTTTGTTTTTTCACTGTTCTTTGTGTTCGCAAGTTCCAATGACAAAAACTTAAGCTTTTTAAAAAAAATAGTTAAATGATTAAATGAATACATAAAGAATAGAAAAAGAGAGAATATATATGATTAGTCTACAGTTTGATGTTTACATACAGTCATTTTTTTCAGGAATTCCTCCTCCTTTAAAAATATCAAGTGAATAGGGAAGATTTTTGACTAATTTATATTTGACCGAAGACTAGTCATGCACATCTCAGGGGATCAAACAGTTTCTTGGAAAAGCTGGATGCAGCCTGTGGTGGTTTGAATAGGTATGGTCCCCAGAGACTAGTGTTTGAATACTAGATCTATAGGGAGTAGCACTATTAGGAGGTGTGGCCTTGTTGTACTTAGGTGTGGCTTTGTTGGAGGAGATACAACATTAGGGGGTGGGCTTTGAGGGCTCAGAAACTCAAGTTAGTTCACTTCCTGTGGCCTGTGGATTAAGATGTAGAACTCTCAGCTACCTCTCCA